TTCTCCCTTATGATCTGCTCATGCCACCACCTTCTTGGCACTCACTATATTTGTAAAAGTTTTTTGTCTGATGGATGAAATAAAGTCATCAATGTATGATGGGCATTGATTAAATTTACTTTTCTATACAGCTTTTGTGGAGAAAATGCAAACAAGTGGAGACCTTAATCTCATTGGTCAGTTTGGTGTTGGGTTCTACTCAGTATATCTTGTTGCTGACTATGTTGAAGTTGTTAGCAAACATAATGATGACAAACAGTATGTCCCTTTGTGCGATTTCATTTTCAAGCAATTGTTACTATCTTATGGTAAAAATATGATGTTTATTTAATTATTTCCTCATGTATGTATGGGAATCAAAGGCTAATGGAGCATTTACTATTTCTGAGGATGTTTGGAATGAGCCACTTGGTTGTGGAACTGAAATCAGATTGCTTTCGAGAAGAAGCCGGGGAGTACTTGGAGGAGAGTAAATTAAAGGTGTGTAAACTAAAAATGTATGATGAATGATAATTTTCAGTTGGTTTTTAGATTAGTACCTTTGTCTTTATAATTTATAATACTTATAATGGGAGCCATGTTCATCATTGGTTTTGTGACCACTGGCTAGGATATAAAATTAACTATAATCACTGATATAGTGAATTATACTTTATGTGCATGATTTATATGCTTGCTTTTATTATGAAAATGTTAAGGATTGAAAAATCTTATACCCCTCTATTCTCTGGATGGATTTTCTCAAGATTTATTGTTTCCATATGTGCTTGCTTTATTATAATACGAAGAGTAGATCTTTCAATTTACCTTTATTATAATGCTTGCTTTGCTTGGTTTAATTTTGGCACCTTTACAACTTGTTTTACATTAATTCTCTTACTTCAACTAGTATATCTTTGTATGTTAAAGCTAGAATTGCAGGTTGCGGTTGCCGTTACTTTTTTTGTTGCCGTTATATTTTTTGTATGGCTCATGAAGAAGTTGCAAGAAGATATGAAGAATTTTTGTTTTATTTTGGTTAAGTAAATATATAAAGTGTGGATCATGTACTTATTTGAAATTTATATATGGCTAATTTTTGTATAAAACAATGATTTGGAAATGGTTATATATATATATATATATCTGATGTTATTGGTCAGTTGTAAATTATTTTGGTTATAATGCTATTTTTTATTTATTTAGGGTTTGCTTATGGGGTCCTTGCAAGGCTAGTAGTAGGGGAAAAAAAAAAAAAAAAAAGGCTTCAAATGGGCTACAATATTTTAAAAAAAAAATAAATAAATAAAATTATATAACACTTTTTACTACGGTTATGCGCCGTGGTAGAAAAGCTATTACTTTCTAAGAAAATAGACTTTCTACCTTTCTACGACAGTAGGGAACTGTGGTAGAAAATATACTTTCTACCAAAGTGCGGAATTGTGGTAGAAAGAAAGACTTTCAAGTCTCTACTTTACTACCACGGTTATTTCCACCATGGTTCAAAACCGTGGTAGAAAGTCTTTTCCACTGTGGTGGTCCCAGACCACCCCAGAAGTCCTAAATCCCATCCAAGTAGGAATAAAAGTCAGTTGCTTCTATAAAAGATGGTGAAAGGTCACAAGGAAGCTCTCTTGTAATTTTTCAGATCTGCGGTAACTTTTAGGGTTTCTGGAGTTTCTCTTTTAAGATTAAAGAAGAAGATCCCAAGGAAGAGGAGTTGCAGTCCATGAAGATGTTTTTCACACCAACAAAGATGATATTCTCCATCTTCATGAGTGATGAGTGCTCAAATGTTGTATATTGTAGTAGCTAAGCTAAGGTATTTTAGTCCATTCATCTATCTTACTTTCATGTTTTAGTTTTTATTAGTGTTTTTGTCTATTTCAGGTCAATAAGGTTTAAACAGGCTAAAAAGAGCCTAATAGCTTAGTTTGGAGTTAAAGAAGAGATCTAGAAAAAGTCAAAAAAATTGCAAATATTGAAGCTTCGATCGATCGAAGGAAGTCCCGATTGATCGAAAAAAGCTACAATCGATCGACATTAAGGCTGTGCCAGCTCAATGGATAAGGTTGCCAGCTATCAAAATTTCTTTGCCACGTCAGCTTCGATCGATCGAAGCAAGTGTTGGATCGATCGAAGTCCTGTTCGATCGATCGGAGCCCCTGCTAGCAGAATGCTATTTAATTCCTGAGCGTGCTCGAACTCCACCAACTTTTGTAGCTGCGAATTTGCACCAATCAAAAGCCTTATTTCTGACTTGTTGCCTACTCTAAGGACCTTGTATTTAAGGGGAATTGAACAACTTTGTAAATCATCTAATCTTTTGTCTTCAATTTTATTCTATTTTTACATTGTAATAGTTACAACTTTGTTAGGGTTAGAAGAAAAGAGAAGAGTGCAGGTACCAAGAACACATCTCAAAATCTACATACTCTCTCTCTAGAATTTAACAAAGAAGAAGAAGAAGTGCCCTTGAGGGTTCCAAGATCATATCCACCTCCTCCATGATTGGCTAGGCTTCTCATTGGGGCTTGGATGAGCCCCAAGTTTGTAAATCTAAACCTTTATCACTTTCATACTTTTTGGGGAATAATATCTTGTAATTAATGTTTTAGCCTTGCGAATTTAATGAATTTTGTGTTCTCTTTTGATTTCTATGATTAAGTACTTCAATCTAATTCTCTATGTAATTACATGTTATCTTATGTGTGATTATTAGGGAATTGATCTCTACACTATTTTCTTTATGTTTGTTGCATGTCTACGTGTGATGAATTAAGGAATTAGTGATGTCTATACATGGTTTTTATTAGATGGGTTTGTTAATTAATTTGATGGATTATACTTATACTTGATGTGTTGTTCTACAATTTAATTCATTCTTGTAGGTAGGTAGACAATCTATACTTAATTTGATATTTCATGGTTTATTATTGCAAATTCCCTGATTCTCTAGATTGATGTGTGCTACAATTGTTACTAATTTGATGGGTCATGCGTAGAATTGATGGGTTGTTCTACATTTAGTTTAATTGTTGGTTAGGTAGACGATTCATACTTGAATTTGATGGTCAATGCTTAATATAGCAATTGATAGTCACATTTTGTTCACAAGAATATTTTTCCCCAATTAGTTTAAAGTGTGTGGTTTGGTAAATGAACTTGGTGGCGATTCTAATGCACCCCAGGACCTCATTTCTCATCTCTTAAATCCTTATCTCACTTTAGCTTGATTTTATTGCATTTTAATTAATTGCATCTTAGTGTAATCAAACAACCAACCCTCCTTTGCAATCATTTGGTACATTAGAGTCGAAATTAAATTCCAACACGTATAATCCTTTGGGACGATCCCTACTCACTCTTGTTACGTTAGTAGTAGTGGTGGTAGTGGTTTTTATAAATTTAAACTTGACCTAAAAGGCTTTTTTTGAACCACACATTCACTACATTATTTTGGCGTATACAAGCGGCCTCGTCAATGAGTAGTTAAATCCTTTTTTAGGGCATTGATGTAACCCGAATATAATTAATATGGTTTGATTATTCTTAACTTTGGGGATTTTTCAGTATTTATATATTTTGATTGCATGATTGTGAGCAATTAACTTAGATCTTCTAAGCAATTAGGTTTTTAATAGAATAAACTTGGTTTTTGATAAATTAACATCTTGTCTTAGAATTAATTTTTCGTTAATCAAATTTAAACTATTCTTATTGTTTGAGATTGGAGACTAAGGGTTTCTCATGACAATAAGAATAGTAATCATGGCATGAACAATCTACCTACCTACTCTAAACTAATTTGCAGAATAATTCATTTTCCCTAAGCATAAACTATCAAAACATTCATTCATGATTTATCTTCTTGAAAGTTGAATTGAATAGAATGCTAATTCTTTTAATTCCTGGTTATACATAAATATTGAAATCCTTGAGATTGAGTCAGTTTACCATATTAAGAGGTTCGTGATAAAATCAAGCCCTAATTACTTCTCGCTTTGATTTCAGTTTATTTTATTTTGCTTATTTTCTTTTCATGTTATTGAATATCATCACAACAAACACAATCTTTCTTTAAATTAAAATAGCAATTAATTTTAGACTTAATAAACCACTACAGTTCCTGAGGTTCGACACCCTCAAAATAGCACTATCCTGCAAATGATTTGTTCTATTGCGAGTGGTCTTTTATAATTGAAAAATAGACACATCATTACCCTTCCATGATTAAGCTGATAAGAGTCGGCAACTATAATATGGAGACTTGAACCCTTGACCTTCCACTTTAGAAGATACCACTAGAGTATAGCCTTTGTGGTTTGAATGTTTGACGTGAGCATGGATTGCCTTGTCATGGTAAATCTTGCTTTATGAAGATTGTGGTGCACTTGGCCGTCCCACCACTTGATTTGTGTCGAGGGGTTTGGGTTGAATCTGGTTCATATTGTAATACTCTAATGTTGCGTTTGGGAGTTGAATCGGTGCTTTGGATTTAGGATTAGAGAAAATTTAGTTTAAAATTTTAACTAAATTTCTTTGAATTCCAAATCCAAACCGCCGATCCGGTACACCCAAACATAACATAAATGTACTGTTTATATGATAAAAAGATCGAAAATAACATTTCTTTTACAGGGGCAGAGATTTCTTCCTTTTGCGTTCATCTTCCCCATCCTAATGCACTACAGTTGCGCGCTTGTGAAATAATATATGGGTGTAAACTACTTGTACCCGGAAGTTAGATCTGAGATTTTGTAGCATAAAAACTTCAAGTCTAAAAATCTGATGTCTCAAACTTAAATTAAAACTGTTGTTCTTTTGTCATTCTTTCTAGTGGAAGGTGAATTACATCACAATCTTCAGTCAACTTGCATGAATCATAATTTCCAATGTAATAACACGAAAAAAAAAAAACAAAAAAGCTTTCAAACCCTTGCAGTTGAAACTAGGTTGCTTCCAATGTGATTCCCATGTTTAATTATTCAAAATAAATAGCTGGCCTGCAATATTTTTGAGGTAGGATACTTAAAAGTGTGTGCGCACGCGCTCGCGCGTACATAAATGTAACAGCAAGATTTCTTTTGGCTTAATTCATAAGACCTTGGGAGAAATTTTTATGGGCATTCCATGGGAAGGAAATGGTAGAGGATCCATGGTGACTGGCTCTTGGGGATATAGCAAGGACCAGTTATATCTAGTTACAACAAAGTGGACAAATATGAGGATATTTAACTTGGCCAGTTGGTACCCTGCACAAACTCTTGGTCCTCCTCCAAATGGTAGAAAAACATATGGTTGGACACACTCCTCGAATCTACTTGGATCAAAACTCAAAGGCTCTCTAAAATACTCTTCATTGTAATGTGTTCCATATACAGTCCACAATACCTGCACCAAATGCACAAGAGAAAAAAATATATATATATATGAAGCAGAAAAGGCCTTAGATTTTGTTGCCATCACAATCTTGTCGTTGCTATTATTATTATTTTTGAATTTAGTTAATGCAGGTCTTTATCTTAGTTAAGGTCCTTATATATATATATATATATATAAAGATATGTATTTATATATGTGATGTAAAACTGATTGTCCAAGCTTATATAACCGCACTACCAGAAGTGTCGAGACACATAATGACACATTTTCTGATGTAGTTACCTATTTTTTGTTGGTAATTAATGGTCCAACAATCAATACTTATAAGCTATGTTTGTGACATATGTCTTTTTTCAGTCAAATTTTATCATTTAGGACTTTGTTTTTGCATTTTTCAATGGTATACGTAGGTAACCAAAGTTTTTGAAATTTTTGTTGGAGGTCGAAATGGATCGGATTGTTTGATCTACGGTAGCTATCTTAACTTAGTCATTAGGATTTTTTTCATATATTTTTTGTAATTTTTAGTATAATGCCAAATTGGAGTGTTTTTAAGATTCTATTGCGTAGGCAGTCATTGTAGTGTTCATCAATGATAGATCAATTTTTTTTCCTATTAGCTTTGTGAATTCAAAGATGTTAATTCGTGAACTTTCATAACTTCCGCTTCAACAGGATGTATGTACAGGTTGGAAAGTGTGTTTGTTTGTGTCGAGTTTGCATTAAGAATTCTGTTATTCCATTTTGAGTTTGCATTAAGAATTCTGTTATTCCATTTTCATATATATGTGTGTGTGTGTGTGTGATGATATTTGGTAGAGATTTTTAGGACAGTTATAGAGAGCTGTTAACATGTTCTAGTTATTGATAAATAAAGGGGATATGATATAGATGTAGCACCTTCCATCCTCTGGGAATGGTGAATCCTTGGTATTCAATGTCTACAGTTGCTTTTCTGAAGGAGCCAAAGATGGGAGGGAACAGCCGCATGCTCTCCCGAACAACTTGCCAGGTATACCTCAACTTCTTTGTGTCCTCCAAGGTCAGATTCTCACCTGCTCTTTTGTTGCTAATTATATCAACATGTTCTGGTAAGAGATCATGAGATCATATCATTTTTAAATCAGTACCAATTTAAAAATCAACTGTGATTGTAATCGATTAGTTTCATGTGTATAAAAAAGCGTTAACCTAGCAAACAAGGCTCTAGCCACACATTTGGGGGGCTACGGAGGGTCAGATATATACTGTCACTTTCGCACGCATAGAAATTATTTTCTATTTTAAACTCGTGGCTCCAGATTACAATGAAACAACCTTACTGTTGCTCGAAAACCCACCCTCACCCTCGGTTTGATGTTATATATACACAAACATGTAACAGTAGTGCAATTTAATGTAGTAGGTACCTTGAAGGAGAAGGGAGTAGCAACTGGGGTGATGAGCCAACATCCTAAATGTCATGGCGATGGCGAAAGAGGTGGTATCATGAGCTGCAAAAACTAGCAACACCACATTATCGACTACCTCCTCCTCGCTAATCTCCCCTCGGATCAGCCCTGCCACCAACCGGGAAAGTAATTTCCCTTCTTCCTCTCTTCCTTCCGGCCCGCCTTCCATTTCCTTCCTCTTCCTCCTCACAACATCAACCAACATCATTTCTATCTCCCTTCTTGCTTTCTTTGCCCTTGAAAACTTGGAGCCAGGAAACTCAAAAGGAGGAGCAAAAACCCCCTCCAAAACTCTCTCAAAAGTTGCCAACATTCCCTCCCCAACATCAATCCCTAACAAGCACTCAAACACAATAGTAAATGTCAAAATCTTTGCCATACCATAAAGGCTAACCTTGTCCTGACCGTGCCAATGGTTCTGTAGGTGTAACTCAACTGAGCTACATATTTTGGGCACCATAGCCTCTAGACCAGCACAGCCAAGGCTTGTGGCTATAACCCCACGAAGGCACCGGTGCTGATCGCCTTGTTTTTCCATGATCGAGTCCTTGCCCATGAGCTGAACAGATGCAGAAGGCCACGAGCTTACCACCAGCTTGAACTCATTCGACAGGAAGAAGCGATTAGCCTCAGCTCCATTTACCACCACCGTAGGCGACCCCATGAGCCTTGTTTTGAAGATTTTTCCGTGTTTTGCAATCCGGGGTTGAACAAACTCCTCGAATATTCGGTTTCTTCGTTGAGCTTTGTAAAATTCTAATGTTTCACCAATCCAGAAGAATCCCAGTTTTCCTGGTGGCAGTTTCTTCTTGCTTTTGTTCTCACTTTTCTTTCTGTGCATGAAACATAGCATAGAGACTGTTGCAGCAGAGAGAGAGAACAGTAAAAAAAGAGCAAAATTCATGTCCATAGCAATTGATGAAGGCATAGACAAAAGTTGAACTCTTAAAGTTATGTTTGCTATTATATGAGCCAGTGTTAATTGATTTATATACATGCAAAGGGTATGTGTTGATAGGAAAAGAGTCACTAAAGTCAACATATTTCATCACCTTATTTAAGAAAGAAAAATTCAACCATTAGGTAATGGTCAAAACCATTCCGTTCATTATATTATTTTTATGAACTATCATCTATCTATATGTTAATGATCATCTTACCCAGTTTGTTAAAAAATAATAATAATAATAATAATTCATCTCACTAAGTTGACTTTAAGAAATCAATTGCTTCCAAAGGACGATCATATCCATTTCATGTGCTGGATGCATCCAAAGTCTATTTTACACCCTGTGAAAATTAAAAATCAACATCATAATCTGGTTTGAATCTGCTCTATTACTCCTCCATATATTAATTTTTATGTCTAAATGTCAATAAGAAAAGAGCAGCAATTTATAGACTAAATTTAGTAATTATCGAATTCAATTTATGTGAGTGGGGTGCTGGGTTTTATTGAATTCAATAAATGTTGACTTCGGTCTATCACCTTACTCACATAAACTGAATTCTGTAATTGCGACCACAAATCACTGTTCATAAGATAAATCAAAATAAGATTTAAAAAAGTTATAGCAGTCAAAACTACTCAGCTCAAAAGCCTAAACGACTCAACTCAAACTGTGGTGAGAAGGACAAAACCCTTTAGAAGTACTGCAGTGGAATTCTTCATACATCAAAGGGTCTTATTCATTTTAAATGAGTTTTAGGTATTCAATTTCAATTGTAGTTTTTGAACCGCATTAAAATTTGTTGCAAAAATGAGTGTGCTAATCATATCATAAAAAATTGAAAGGCTTCGACTTCAATATAGCTGTTTGGCTCAAAGGAATTTTATTTTACTATTGTTTGACATTAGGGGATTAAAAATATATATATAATTTAAAAAGTAACCTAGATTTTTAATACAAGGCAGCATAGTTAAACCCATCATAAATGTATGAAAGATTCATTTCAGGATAATAAAATCCACCCAGGCATTTACTTGTGAATGATTTTGAATTATTATTTAAAAGGATATCCCTAGATATCTGGAATGGGTAATATTCTACGTTTTCTGTTGAAAGTCAGAAAAACAGAAAATTGGAATTTTCTCCATCTACCATGATTGCTGATTACTATACAATGATAAGTGCACACCATATGTATATAATATATAGACATATAGATATAAGTAATGATGTACTGTAGAGATCCAATTGGTGCTTTGGGGTCACTATTGTCAAATTATATTAAGTTGAAATGTAAAATCCAGTATCTCCACTTTTCCCCTAACTTCAAAAATAAATAAATAAGTCTAATTAAACTTTTTCTTCAACTCATATAGATATTGTTTGCTTGCACATTTTCTTTTTGGTGTTTAGGATTTTGTTTAAAATTCGTTTAAAATCCGTTTACATTGTTGGGGTACATCCACCCATATAAGTGTAATCAAACCTTTATCCCCAAACGATGTGAGACATCACAGTAGCATTAGAGCTAATTCCTTGTTGGAAATGGGGGGTGGATGTGAGTTGCGCTGTGCAGAATAGTTGTGGAATATAATATGGATAAGCAACTTAGAGGGGATGAATAGGTTCAACTTGTTTTTTTTATCCTATTTTTAATTAATTTAAATTTAACGAAATAAAGATAAATTAAACACTCACAAACAATAACTTAAAGTGCAAGTAATGTAAAAAGTGAGTTTAGAGAGACCGAATTTTTAGCGAGGAAACCCTGATTGACAGAATAGGCTAATCGTTTTGGGAAAAACATCGAGGATTTATGCAGTCTTGAGTGAAAAGATCTATTATGTTTGAAGCAAAGAGTACAATCAACTCTGACTTAGGCTCACACCCTATCGTTCTATCAAAAATCAATTGTTGACCTATAATGGCTTTGCGACTCCCCTGTCCAACAGCTATCGACTTCAGGCTTACTCTTGATCACTATAGGAGGATTGCTGGTAGATCAACCAATACTCCACAAATGTCTTGATCCCTTCGAAGTGTAATTTTCTCACAATTTTCTTAAAAAACTAAATTTCTGAAGTATAAATGAAATTCTGCTTTACGATTGATAGATATTGAATCTTCAATCACGCAAATTTCGATCGAATAATGAATAACAACCTAAATCACTCAGTGTATAGGTGTGTTCTCTCAAAAATAGAAAATTGATAAAGTCTCAAAAACTCACACAAAGGCTCTCTTAGGGTTTAGAATTTTGCAATCAAAAATCCTTTCTTAATTGTGTTTGAATACGAGTTTATATAAAGAATTAGAGAGTCCTATTAGGGTTAGAAAACACCTTTAATTTCATGCTCAGACATCCCTCTAATTTAGATAAAAAAAAAAGGTAATAAAAGTTGGCAAAAATAAAAACTTTCCTTTTTGGTTAAGGAAAATGCAACTGGTTGGATTTTTCCACGAAATTGTTTTGGTGCAGGAAATGCAACCGGTTCAAGAGTGAAGTAAAATTGGTTGAATTTTTCTGGAGCATTGTTTTGGTGCAGAAAATGCAATCGGTTCAAGAGTGACGTACAATGGGTTGAATTTTCCCCAAGCACTATTTTGGTGCAGGAAATGCAACCGGTTCAAGAGTGCAGTGCAAATGGTTGAATTTTTGAAAAACCCTAGGTATTTAAAATCCAAATTTTACCTTACTCTTCTAAGTGATCCTCACACACTTACCATAACTAAATGTTGTTTGTAACGACCTGAACCTGTAGGTCCGAACCGCTAACCGGGTCCTTACCTGAACCAGAGGTGACCTAAACAAATGCCGTCAAGTTTATTGACAAAAGATCACCCTTACATCATGACTATACTTCAAAAGGGCCCTAAATAATAATTCCAAGGCTCAAACTCAAATACAACAAAAGAAGGAACAAAGTTCAAAAAACAGCAGCATTTCGGTCGGCCGAAATGGCCCCTGTATTGGTCGACTGAAATGGCCATTTCGGTCGGCCGGTTATGACCCTAACAGTGACTGAATCTACTTGAATGATCGGCCAACCGAAGTGCCCATTTCGATCAGCTGAAATGGCCCTGCGAGCTATAAAATTTGCACTGAACTGCTATACACCTGAAAATGTTCAAAAGCCTACTATAGAACTTAAAAATTGACTCATTCCTTTCCAAACACATCTGAAATCATTGATTACAATCTTTCCACACCTGACTGCATCATAGTATATAATTCATGCAAAATTCTTCATAGTATTATGCAAAAGAACGAAGTTCATAAAATTTACAACCCATGAGTTATCCTTGTTTTTCATAACACCCATCTTTGCAACAATATATAATTTATACTTGGTTAATTACAAAGGTACAAGTTTCATGCTTCCATACAAAAGATAACAAAATGATAGTTCCAATCCTGTCTAGATTTGTGGTGGATGGTCGTCCGCCACTTCTTTGCCTGAATCTGAAAATGTTAAATAAAGGGATGAGCTAAAAGCTCAATAGGTGGTGCCTAAGGCACACCTCTTATGACCCTGTGAATCCATACAAAGCATAGGAAAAAGAATAACGGGATCCTGCTGAGCTGGGGTACACATCCATAACCACAACGTTAACTATATACATAAACAAATATTATCCATATATGCAAATGAAGTGCAATGTCATGCCAATATCACTCCCCATTTTCCAAAACAAATCATTTTTGCCATTATAAACCTTTAATGCAACCCGGCCCATAGCACCTCTATGGCCACGAGGGAAGGATTGGCTAGCTTTCCCCGACCACATCGCACCTTCATGGCTTCGTTTGGTATAATACCCCTAATTTTAAAAGGATAGTCTTGGTTATTTTAAATATTTTAGTTCTTTTTTTTAATATTTTAATTTTATTATTTTCTTTATTGATATGACTTGGATTGGGAAAAGAGGTAGGGTTATTATTTAGCCTATAAATATATAACTATATGGTTAAAAAAGGGGACTATAAATATATCACGTAATATATTTTAGGGAGAGAGAGAGAAAGAAGGAAGAGAAAGAGGAAGAAGGAGGCTAGGGTTTTTATCAAATCCCTAAAGGCAAGTTCTTGTTCTATACTTTTCCTTTAATCTGTGAATTATATATCTCTAGTATAATCTTAGGATTTGTTTAAAGAACAATTAAAACTGAAATCTGTAATTTAATTGATCTAAACATAGGTTTTATGAATTTGGTTCATAATTGTTTTTGTTATATGAATTGATAAATTCCTGGGTTTGATCTAGTTTCTTTATGGATTTTTACATGTTTTAAATGATGTAATTTCATATCTGCGTAATGGAACCTAGAAGCATGCCTCGGAATTCTTAAACAATAAAGATTGGGTTCATAGTAGAAATTCTGGGTTGAATCGCGTAAACAGTGTTCGACTCGTTGTTACAGTGCTTGAGCATTGGAGGCAAAGCTCGAGCCAAGGATGAAAACTCGAGCCTTGAAAGAAAAGCTTGAGCCTTGGATGCAAAGCTTGAGCTATTGATGTAAAGCTCAAGCCATGGACAGGAAGCTCGAGCCATGGATGGAAAGCTCGAGCTATTAGGATAAAAGCTCGAGCCTTACCTGAGAATTTTTATAAATAGCGTTAAGTTAATCTTTATTGATTTTGAAAGGTCCTGAACATTAAATAAGGACTATGTATGAGTTTAAATAAATTCTAAACAGACTTAATTGTTACAATGCATGCTATTTGAGTTCTTTAAGGAATGAATGAAATTAATCTTTTAAATTTATTCTAACAACTGAGATTAAATGTTTAGCATGAATTGTATTTGGAGAATGCTTACCTGACTGTATAATAAAATATCAGCATATTTAAAATTCAGTTTGTGTAGGATATATGATGTAGGAAGCTTAAATAAATTATAAGTCGTTCCTATTCTGTGATAGCATGATATTCTATTATTATGTTTATTCTAATTATTTG